AGACTGCCTAGAGTCCCCTAGACACTAGTAAGAATTCGTGTTTGAGCCTACACAGAGGAAACATTTTGCCATTCCCATTGTATCTATTGGTTCTTTTTTAAAGTGCCTCATTTCCTTTTCCCTTTTGGGGAAAGATGGTGTACACAAAAACAAACATGTGAAGAGGTGCAATAAAAAATTCCTATAGCACATGGTAAATAAAATTTCTCAGATTCAAATGGGGTTGAATCCTAGTGCCAGTGAAGATGACTGGGGTTCATTCTGTGGAGTGATATTTATATCAGTTTGAATCTATGATTCCTTATGAAATAGATAGGCTTTCTATAACTTCAGCTTTTCCCCTTCTGACTTGGATCCCTTAACTTTCATGTTTTTTTAAGACTACTCTTCAGGAGTTGGTTGGAGGCTGGATCTGAGCAGTAATAAATGCTTTTTTGCATAAATGGGTGTTCCCATTACGTTTACACATGCTGAGCTGCAGTTCATCATCAATAAGGCTCAGAATCCAACTATTTTGAATAATTTGCGACCTGACTCCAATTTTATTTTCATCATGGCTCTGAAACTCCAGAAACCCTAGAAAAGGGTCACCAACCCCTGGGCTGTGGCCCACTACTGGGCCATGGCCATTTACAACTGGGCTGTATGAACGGTGGGCCATCGCATGCGTGCAACTCGACTTCTGTGAGTGGGTGAACAATGTGTGTGCACATGCATGTGCAGCTCAATTTGAATAAGTCAAGCTGTGCATATCCATGCTGACTCAACTCTTGTGCAAATTGAGTTACATGTTTATAGCTCACTGCTCGCACAGCCCAGTCCCCTTCTACACCCCCCCCACTGGGCTGCCAAGCCACAAAGGTTGGGGACCACTGCCCTACAAGAAATAGATTTCAGGCCAGAATAGAGCCCAAAAATTTCATTAGTTATGCTGATGGATACATTATCCCCAATGGCCTTGCTAAGTGGCTTGGATAAACATTTGGGCACTTTACATTATGATGTGATTTAAAGGACAAAATGGTTGCCTTAATCCTAATCTTGCCCTAGTTTAAAGGATAACCCTTGATGTGTCACAAAAGCTAACAGGTGTTGCACAACTAGGATGAAATGTACACTGCAGCAGCAACAGAAGAGAAGCATTTTGCTGACTCAAAGATTTCCCAGGAAGAAGCTGAAATTAAGAGACTGCGCAGTCCCAGGCTGCATGGAGGAAGAGAAAGAAGTTCACGGTAGCCACACCCTAGATTTCTCAAAATATATCTAGTAGGTTAAAAAGTTATAGTTTTAGTTTGGCAAAATTCTATCCATTAGGTGTAAGCAAATAAAGGGTTCGATTCAATTGTGTCTCATTGTCTCATCTCTGGGCATGGGCTTGAAAGCTGATTTATGATTTGGCAAAATATTCTAAGCAAACCGTGATTAAACCAACTAGTTTAGCATGGTGTCTCAATTAGATAGTGTCTGGGAGGATCTCCAATGAGTTTCATAGTCCATTACAGAGTTGAAGAATTTTCACCCAGTACTCTATTTTAACCATTTTACCTATGTGAATGTTGTTTCAGTGGATTTTAAAGGAAGGGGCTTTAACACTCTAGCTTTTCAGTAGCAATTTTTTCCCCTTTTTATTTTAATGGGGTATTATTTTAATACAGATGATTTCATAATCGAGTTCACCTGTTCCCCCATACCTTCAGTTATAGAAACACATCATGACATTAAGCATTAAACTGCTTATTGAATTCATTAATAGAAACATTAACACAATAATTGCACTTAGAATCATTGCCTGAGTTCATAAAACATAGAACATTTTAAAGTGAAAATGTTAATAAAAGATCTTTTAAAATGGTTATTCATATAAGTAATGAAATAATGAGTAAGATATTTTGTATTGTTGCCCCTGTTGTATTATCATTCATTGATCTTAATTTTAGTTTTTACAAGGCTTTTTACATTATTCTAAAAGAACTCCAGTAGGATATGTTCTTTGATAGTTTTCTTCCACAGATTATTTTGTCATAAAAAGAAATTAACTTTCCAGACACAGAAGAACTCTGGTAGTAATATAACATAAATGAGCTGTTATTTTTTTCAAATAGTCAGATATACTAAAACATTCAGACACACTTAATGATACAAAATCTTGTATTTTACAAATTCACTGGCCTCTTACTAAACGGTTGCTAAAGTGTTATTCTCAACTGTGAATAGTTCTTGAGATATTCTTTAATCAAAATTCCCAATCATGCAGTCTTTAAATAAACTCTTGCAGATTGCTGCTGAGAATGCAAGGTTTGAACTGCAAGCATAAATATTGATTACAATCGGAAGCATTAATAATAAAAGGTGAAATTTGTAAGAAAATGTTTTCATTTAAAAAAAACCACCCTATTTCAATTCTAGCCTAAAATCTGACCACACATCAGGGACTAGTTTCAGATTATGTATTTTAAAACCTCAAAGGAGGAGTACTCCATATTTTGGGGGGATGGAGGTAATTTAATTGTGGTTTGGGTAGGAGAATTATTCAAGTTTCTTATAATTTGTGTCTTTTTATCTTCTCCTCATTTCCATTTTCTTTACTTTTTGTACATTCTAGAGTTGTAGTTCCAATATATCTGGAGACAGATATATAGTTAAGCTTGGAAAAAGCTGAGGTAGCTAACTAGAGATGCCTCTAAACATCAGATTCCAACATTGAATTCTTATCAGCTTTCTACATAGTCACCTCCTGTTCAATGTGTTCAGATCATTACTTTATGTATTTTCCTGTCTGTGTTTCATATCACAGCCTGCCAGTGATGGGAAGTACATATTACAATGACACCAGGACATGGAACCATGTTGTTAGACTTAAGGAAAAAGGAAGTCAGACATTAATCTACTCTTTGTGTGTATAATCTTTTCTCTAAATCTCTCCTTAACAGATTGTTCCTTCCTTCTCCTATTATGCCCCTTTCATCCCTTCCCTGAAGTCAGCTCTCAGTTTGCTTACAGAGAGGGTCAAAAGAACTATGAAATATCTCTAAAACTGGATCCTAGCAGATAGCACAGAAGAATACCATAGTTAATAGTATTGTAAGCTCTCAGAAGTTTCACCGAGCTGCGGAGATGCCAAAGAGTGAGACTCGAGACGAGACATGCAAAAATAACAGCTTTTTTATTCTTTTGCCAAAGCAAAAAGTCTGAGTGAATACTATGTCCAAAACATTCAGACAAAATGCATGTAAGGAATAGCCATACACTGCGAGAGTGGCTCAGAGTATTATATACATTTTACACTAATAGAAACAAAGTTTATCCAATCAGAGACAAAGGTTCATTATTAATGTGGGCAATGTCTTGCCCATGCCTTCCCCTTCTTTATCCATGGAGCGTTCTTTGTCCGTGCTCTGTCCATACTTTATTATTTTACACAGTATCCCTTGTCCTTGTGTGTTCATGCTCCTGGGCAGCCCCCCCCCCTATCTATGGAGCAAGATGTTCCTGGGAATTGTTTCCAAGGATGTGTCTAGCTCTGAAGCAAATCGCAGAGGTGAGAAACCAGATAGAAAAGGATACAATTCTCTTGCAGAATGAATTCCTAACAAATGATTCCCATCCTTAGCAAAATAGTACAAGAAACTTCTTTTACAGATGCAAAAGAGCAAAGGTTAGATTGATTCATATCAATATGTCCTTTCAGTATTAAAAGCGAACAGGAGGTTTAGAGAAATTAGCAGTATTCTATTTCCCAATCTGCCATACGTCATCTAATCATGCAAACAAAACAGTTTTGTTATCATGTCCTAGATAAAACCTCTGAAATAGATTCTGAAAATCAGGCCAGCCAAATATATCTAGAGTTGCGAAGCTACTGCTTTCTTGATCTTTCTTACTCAGGCAATGGAATATTTGTGATTGACCTATAATTAAACAAGATCTCTGGATCAAGGGAAGGACCTTATTTTCAGTAATGGTTTTATAACTTCCTCTTTGAAGCAGGCAGGAACACATCCTTCCTTTTATTAATCATTAGTTACTTCTCAAGAGTGGACCTGTTCCAGTCTGGTTGATTTAGCCAATCAACAAGAATAGGAGTTCAGCAATCAGGTGATAATGTCCTTCAAAATAGACAGAAAAATTGAGCTACTGTTTACTAAGCAATTTCAACATGGGCATTGAACTGTTGACTTGAGTAAAAGTGATTATTATGCAGTTAGAAACTAATGTTTTTCCTATATTGTCAGTTATACAAATACAGTTATAAATACTCCAAATGGAGATATGATTAAATGGAAATTCTGATTAGTGAGATGGAATTCTTACAGACTTACCTATGGATATCACTCTTGCTCACCTACAAGACCCTATCAACTGCATCATAAAGTAGCACAATAGACACAGCTAGGAGAAATTACCCTTTCCTTTAGTTTGTCTCCACAATATTTCAGCACTTTTACCCAGGATTAAACCATGGATAATAGACATTTTACGAACCGACAGTATAAATTATTCCTTGATTTTGTGCCAGCATCTTCTGAAATAAACTACTGCCTTTTTTTGCATCTTGTACAATTTTGTGTATTATTTAAAGATAAAATATTTTAAAAAAATTAACCTTCATGTCACTAAGTATCTATTTAGATTTGAATGAAGAACTCAGAAAACTAAAACATTATAGTTAAACTATATATAGGGTTGGTAACCAAGTCTTCCATCCAGTTAACTCAAGTTTAAACTGATTTTGAGCCAGTTTAAGTCCATCAAACCTAATTAGAATTAGTAAACCAATTTCTGCATTAAAGCAGCATTCTACCCTATGATTTTAGATTCTGATTGTCTTAATACTTACTGGAGATAATGGGAACTGTAGTTCAGCAGAGCTGGAGAGCTTCTGTTTAGGAAAGCATGGAATAAATTAATGCTCTAATAATAATATTTGCCATATACAGTAGGTGTAATTTCAGTCTGTAACCTTTTTCTATTTTCATCCTTCCCTTACTTTCCAAATACAGATTATTGACAAAGAAATCAATCCATTTGTGGACAAATGGGAAGAAGAGGGACAATTTCCAGCACACCAAGTTTTTAAATCACTTGGAGAGGCTGGATTTCTTGGAGTAGACAAGCCAACCGGTGAGAAAGGAACATACTTTAATAATTGCCTGTAATTTAGAAAACATGTTTAATATTTGGCTGAAGCATTTAGAGGCTGATCTTTCTAAATACATCCTAATTATAGCATTTTAAGTTGAATGGACTGGAATACAAAATCCAGCAAATACATTTTTTTCTAAAATCTAAAGCAGGTATTATGTGGAACATGTTTTGAATATGGTACTAGAACTTGTTTTTTACTTGAGCTGTCAAACTATAAATCTTCATAAACTTCTTTAATAAATAATTCTACTTGATGTTTTAATTAGCTGATTTAAATGTATTTGTTTTTAACTTTAATTATCCCTCCATGTTCAATGTTCTGTGTTATGGAAGTATGTTTTTAAAGTGATTAAGGACTATTTGTTATGAAACTTTGCAAAGTATACAAGAAATAAAAGTCCTAAAGATACGCAAACTGAGAAGTCTTACAGCCTGAAAATTAAACTGCAGCAAAATATTAACGTGACTGTTGCAAGCTACTCATGTCCATTTTCTGACTTTACTATATCATTTGCATAATAATATTTGTAGCCAAAGAGCATATTGAATCATTATTGGGCTGTTCTGGGGAGACTTCTCTTTAATTAAGTAATTTCTGCAAATCTTAAAGTATCCTAAGTTCCAAGCACAGTACTGTCTTCCACTCAGGGATGGATAGAACTGGTTGTACTACAAAAGAATGGTGTGGTTAATAATACACAGGTTTAGTTGAACATGTCCATTTGCTCAGTGGTTTTATTGTTGAGCAGATCTTGAAGCATTATAGGATGTGCTATCATGTGAGATTGTTCTTTTTCTACTTAAAATCAGCTAACTGAGGAAACCAGCTTTCTTAAGCATTTGGTTTCCTTAATAGAAGCTTTGAATGTGTGGTCTAATAGTTTTTATGTGTAGTTGTATTGTTGATGATTAAGTTTAGTTATATTAGATACTCACTTTTTGTCTGTCAAATATTCTGCGATTTCTGCTGTCTGAAATAGGAATTGCAGCTAAAATTCAGAAAAGAGCTAATAATTTTGAGATTTTTGAATACCATAAGTCGTTGAAAATAGCCAGGTAGCCTAATTCTGGTCACTTAGAAGTTATGAAAATCACTGGGAATTGTGAGGAAATAAGACATGAAGCAGTCTTCAAATTTTATTTAATTATATATGTTTATAGTCAGTTTTAAGGAAGTTTAAGAAAGATAGTTTGGATGGAGGGCTGGATTCAGGTTTTTTATAATTTTGAATCTTTTGCCCCACTCCCATCCCTTTTAAAATCTCTTCTCATGGACTGTTTACAGTATTTAAAAAAGCTTTACTTTAGGCTTTTTCATAAATTTCCTTTTTTCTTATATCTAATGCTGTATTGATGCAGCATCTTTGAAAAGCAAATAGGGGTTAATTGCATACTTCAAATCTATGCTTTGAATAGTCAAAAGTAAGAATTTTTATGAATGCATGTTATTAAATTATAGGACAAAATGGAACAAAAGCTTAGTAATAATGTATTTTTGTCTCTTTTCTTCTGCCAAGAAAAATGTTCAAGTTTTATGTAACTTATTTTGAAGCTATTCCAGATCATACTGAGTTGCCATTATAGTATCGATTCACAGGGTGGTATATTTCAACATTTTATTCTTATATTCAGGTTCTGCACACTTAATAGACATCAGTTAACCTTAAAAGAAACTAAGCAGGGTCAGAAATAACTAGAAACTCTTAGGTCAAGCCCTTGAAAATGAACCATGACCAAGAAAACAAAATTCACATCAAGTTTCATTAATTATATTCAGTATATATATCTGCTAATACAAGGGATTGGAATAAAGAAACTTGGAAACTAAATACAAATAGTTCTCAGCTTATGACTGACTACAATTGAGCTCAAAATTTCCATGGTTAATGAGGTAGTTGTGAGTTTACTTCATTTTACAACACTTTTGCCATAGCTGTTAAGTGAATTGTAAGCCACCTGGGAAGGTTATAAATGATGATTCTATGACCTTGAGGTCATGCAACTATCCTAAATACATGCCAATTGCCTAGCACTGGAATTTGGATCATGTGACCATGGGGAAGCTGCAGTGGTTCTAAGTGTGAAAACTGGCCATAAGTCACTTTTTTCAGAGATGTTGCCACTAAACAAGCTGCTTTAATTTTTGGACTTTGGTTGTCTACTCTAGCCCCACACAAGAATGGCCAGTTCCATGATAAATCTCATATACCTGTGACTACTTAATAATAGTAGGGAATACAGAACAATACAGAACTAATCTTGGGGTTCATGTTTTTCTCTCTAAATGTAAAATCAGGTGTATGCATCCTTTCAATTTGAGGAAAAAGAATATAAATTTGAGTGATTGTTGGATCAAAGATAACCTTTTATGAATACACATTGTAGAAAAGGACATAGCAATGTCCATGATCCACCATCTTCGCATAAGGGCAGGTTTATAAAATGCTTTTTTGCACCATATGACTGCAGTGCATTGTTTGGGTCGAACCAGTCCTCAGTAATTGCTCATTACTTACCTTTTTGCTTTTATTATTCAGAGACAGAGACAAGATAACAAATGTATGCAACATCTTTGAACAGGCAGTCCTCAACTTACAACAGTTCATATAGTGTCTGTTCAAAGTTACTACGGCACTGAAAACAAGGACTTATACCCCTTTTCTAAGTTTCAATCTTTGCAGTATCCACCATCATGCGATCAAAATTAAGATGTTTGGCAGCTGGTTCATATGTATGACTGTTGCCATGTCCCAAGGCGAGGGTGATCACTTTTTGTGACCTGACAAGCAAAGTGAATGAGGAATCCAGATTCGCTTAACAACAGAGTTACTAACTTATTAACTGCAGTGGTTCACTTAGAAACTGGCAAGAAAAGTCATTAAATGGGACAAAACTCACGTAACACATGTCTCTATTATGCCCCTGTCAGAGTCTGACTCTGAGGGGAAGATGAATAACTGACATAGAATGGAAGAATGGCTCCATTGGCTGTGGATGAAACTGGGGAAGGGCAAAATCAGGCTGGGCAGAGCAGGGGAGGGGAGAGGTAGAACAAGGGAGAGAGGGTTCAGATGAAGACCAAGGCGACATCAACCTAGGACACGCAGGGAAGAACGGAGAAGAGCAATGTGGGTTGGGTGGCTTATGAGGAAGGAATGGGCCCCGATTCCCTTTACAAGGCACCCCTGGTTGTAAGTTGAGGATGACGTGATTTTTCTTTCAATGAGCTTCATTCATTGAAACTCCTTTGTGGAAATACCCAGTTTAATTTATAGTCATCCAGGTTAGGTTTAAATCTGGATTACTGGGCTGCATGGATTACTCTCACTCTTCTGTGAGAGTTAAAATCCAAATCCTAGGTTACCTGTATATTGATTCATATAGCTATTCAATGAATTGCTATGTTGATATCCTTTCTTTTCCTTTCTCTGCTTTTATTCATAGTCCATAGGCTAATTTTTTCTCCCTTAATAATTCTCAGCAGGAAAATATGCAAGAGTTTATCATAAAATCCTTTAGGATTTAGCATCTCACTTAAAAATCCATTAACCTTCTGTCACATTCTCATTTCTTCAAAACCTGTTCTATTATTTCTTGCTAGGAAAAGAAAAGTGGGGAAGAAATTTAAAAATTCCCAGATGCCCAGGAGTTTAATTCTCAGTTCAAAATCTTTTCCTTTTTATTTATTTTTTCATTGTACTTAGAATATGTTTTACTGGTAAAAATAAACTTTAGAATGCTGACACGTTATGAATCAAATAACTTGGAATATACACTTTTAAAATATTTTTTCTTGAATTTGTCAGAAATAATATATAAAAGGTTGGGTTGAGTTGGGTTTGATGTGGTGTGGTTTTACCCAAAGATTTGAACCAAACTATGTAATACTGAAATGCAAGCTTTAGTTCATTTCCTTGGATATTGTTTTGTTTTACAGCCACAGTTTTATCATTCTGTGTAAATTGGCAGAACAAATTTTTACTAAGGGAAAGCCAAGGGAAGCAATTTACAGATATTATTGTCTGTTGCTTGTAGCTAGGTTTTCTCTGGTTTCAGTCAATAAACCAGAAGTCAATAAGAAGTCATAAGTTAATTTTAGACTCATGGTTCACAGATTTGAATACAAAGGCAGTTTTCACGAGACTCTGAGTTTCAATTGTAGGCAACACTGAAGGTAAATTGTAGGCATACGATGTATCTGCAGAACTTAATGTGCTCTTTAGGAATTGTCCATTTGCTCAGCCGGAAAAGTCTTGATCCAACCAGCTCTTGAATTCAGATGTTTGTTCTGGTTTAGTCCTTAACCTTTATTTACTTCCACTCTTGGATGTGAAAACATTCTGATATATCATTTTTTTAATTAAGTTTTTCTCCTATCTTCTCCTCCTCCTCCTCCTCCCCGCTCTCTCTGCTTCTGAACTGCTATTTTTATTCCTCTTCTGCATCTTCAAGTATTTATTTTTTTAGGTAAAATGTTATTCATCAAGTTTTCAATGTTTTATTTATTCATGAGGTTATGTCTCTCGGCGTGTGGACTATGATAGACAGTTTTCAAGGAAGTACTTGTGCATGGAAAGCAGCTTGAGATTCAACAGAGATGCATTAGAAATGGCTCTTTTCAAAGCAGCATTATTAACCTATCAAGATAATTTTGTTCTAAATACTTTATAATTTTTTTTAAAAAATATGAGTTTTCCACCAGTTTCCACCAAGTTTAATTTTCCACCAATTTAAGTTTGGAAGTCCCTCCCCAACACACATAAAATTACACTGGTATTTAAAAGTATTTTGAACATTCAACCAACCAACAAAATAAATAAATAAATAAATGTAAGTTTTTATTTCTGAGCAAAAATACTGATGCAATATTTGAACAATAACTATAAGAGGAGGGGTGAATATATAAAACAATGCTTTCCTAAGGCAACATACATTAGTATAAAATGTTTCTAAGTGCTGTTAGACCAGTCTTCCAT